ACTAATAAAAATAAATGGAAAAAAAAAAGTGTGGCTTTTTATTGATAGCCTGAGCAAAAGTCTAAGAGGAGGTTGAACCTGGCTGACAAGGAAGTTTTCTGGATAATCTGTGGTTTTCAGTTATGTGTGCTCTAGTAGTACTGACGCTCAAAGTGTGAGTGATATGATGGAGATAATACAAGAGATGGTTGTGGAGCTCTATCTCACTTGATGTCATTTGGATATGGAAATGATGACAAATTTTATAAACTATGTTGTGTTTAAACACAAGACTAGTAATTATAAAGTAAATGGAGTTTGGTAGTAATATTAACATATACCTTGAAAAAAAGTGATGTGCTTTTAATCTATCAAAAGGCTGTTATTTCCTGGCATGAGAGAAAGAGAAGGCATCCTACACCCTCCCTTCTGTCATACCTCAGGGTTAATTTCTTAGTCACTTCCCGCAAATTAATAAAGCTGAAGTCAGATGTTCTCTCAGTGTCATCATTCCTGAGAATAACTGTACTTTCAGGAGTTGCTCTGATTCTTTCAAACCTCTAGAGAAACATACAATGTTCTGAAGTGGGAGTTGGCACTCTTTCTGTAAGGGGTCAGGTAGTAAATATTTTCAGCTTTGTGGCCCATACAACCTTTTACAACTATTGAACTTTGTTGCTGCAGTGCAAAAGCAACCATAAAAAGTATGCAAAAAAAAAAAAAGGATGTGGCTGTGTTCTAAGAACTTTATTTATGGGCACTGAAATTTGAATTTCATATCATTTTCAAGTGTCATGAAATCTTATTCTTCTTTTGATTTTTTTCCCCCCAATAATTTAAAATGTGAAAACCATTCTTAGCTCACGAGCTATACAATAACAAGAGGCAGGCTGGATCAGTTTGTCGACACCTGCTCTAAAGCAAGAATCTATTATGGCACTCTAGAAAGAATTGAAAAGAGTTAACCAGGCAACGAAATGTGTCAAGCCTCAACTCTGCTCTTCTAGGCAGCGTGGAGTCTAGGATAATAGGTCTTTTCAACCAACAGTGGAAGACTATTAAATACAGACAACCAACCAATATAACCCATCACCACTGCCACTCCAAGCTGCTACAAAACGGGCAGACAGGCTAAGAGTCACAGGGCCTTAGAATCTAACCCTGGGGACTCAGCTGCTCCTCAAGACTTGTTTAATTTCAAACGACACTGGAAAATAACAAAAGGTTTGACTCTGAATCCAAAATATTGTCAGATATGGCAGTGCAGTATACCTGGAGAAAGCTCCTGTAGGGTTATTTTGAACTGATTTTACGATAATTCCCAGATGCTCTCTCTCAGCTAATGGGGAGTGCAGAATTCAAGGTCATATCACAACTCCCTTGCAGTCTATCCTCAAGGTGTTAGAATGATTTAAAGTTACCCTGACCTAGAAGTTTCTGAGACCTCTTCATGGAGCCTTATAGACATTAACGTCCTCATATACAGCTCTTATTTGGACATTTCTTTCAAAGTACCTAATGGAGCAGGTGAACAGATAGAACTGTGATTCCTCTCAATCACCTGCTGTTCCCCTACTCTTGACTCAAAAAAGCAAAAGAGAATCTATAGCTTTTTCTTCCCTCTAGTTTTACTGTGATATGATTGGCATAGAGCACTCTTTAAGGTGTATGGTATAATGATTTGACTTGAATCTGTAACTTTTTTTACTAGCCTTATATCCTGCAAACTTGCTACAATCACTTATTAGTTTCAGGAGTTTCCTTGTTGATTTTTGGGATTTGAAAGACTGAATGTTTAGTTTTTCTAACATGTAGTTTCGTATAACAATTTAAAGACTGATTTCTACACTTCAGGTATTTGTAAGTGAAATAATATGATGGCTTGTATTTGATTTAAAATACTTAAAAAAGTAAAGTGGTGGTAGGGGAGATGAACCAAGATTATCAAAAGTGAAATTAAGGAAGCTGAAGGATGGGGTTTCATTACATTACTTTTTTGACCTCTACATAAATTTGAAAATTTCTAAAATGATATTTCAAAGCCAGATACATTATTTGAGATTACAGAAGAAGTCTCTTTCTGTATTAAAGGGAAAATTTTTCTTTTCCCCCCAACATTTCTCTTCTGTTTTCCTAGAAGGTATACAATACATTTTGGAAGAATAGTTGGCTGAACAGATGGATAAATGGATGGATGGACATGTGTCATCTTCTTCTTATCCATTTAAATCTTTAACTTGGCACCAGGAATATACTGGAACTTACCTTCATCACAGGCCAGAAATATGATGAGCCTTTGTGATGCCCATCTCAGTACCTTAACTGTGTTTACTGATATGATGACAGTTCAATTTTATATTTTGGTATTATTTCCCATTTAAGAATTGGGAATAATAAATGAAATTGCTATTTCTCATAAACCCTCTGTGAAGCAGATGCTCCATCCAGTTCACAGAATTAATAAGCCCCTGGACTTGACCACAATGATACAGAACCTCAGAACCTGAGAGCTGAAAGGGAATTTAGAAGTTATAGACCTCCACATTCTACCTAATGTCGGAATCCATCTATAATGATGATCCATTTCATTTATTTGGTACTTTTCTAAGCACTGGGGATATAACAGCTGGGGAAAAAAAAGGCAAAGTTCCTGTCTTCACGGAGCTTACATTCCAGTGGGGGAGAAAGGTAATATATAAAGATGTGTCTGAGGTGAGGGACTATACCATGAGAATATCTAAGGGAGAAGAATTCTACCATTGGAAACAGTGATGACAAAGGCCCGGAGGTGGGAGCATGCCTGTTTTCTAGGAATGGCAAGGAGGCCAGTGTGGTTGGTACCAGGTGAGGGGGGAAGAGAAGCCAGCAGCTGGGGGGCTTTGTGGGCCACTGCAAGAACTTTGGCTTCTACTCTGTGCTGGGAAGCATGTTTTGACAGGATCACTACAGCTATGGTGTTGAGGAGAGACTTCGGGGAGACAAGGCAGAACTTAGGAAACTAGTTAGAATGAAACTGCAACAACCATTGCACGCTAGCAGTGGAGATGGAGAGAAGTGGGTAGATTCTAGAAATGCTCTGAAGGTAGAACTGATAGGTTTGGCTGACAGAGCAGATGCAGGGAGTGAGAGGAAAAGGGGCCCAGGATGAGTCCAATGTTTTGGGATGAATGGGACTGCCATTCACTGAGAAGACTGGAGGAGAAGCAGGTTTGGGGAGCGGGTGGATGAAGATAGGAATTTGGCTTTCGACACACTGAGATTGAAGGGAATTACTAGCCACTGGTGTGCAGATGTCAAATAGCTGGCTGTATATGAAACTGAGTTGCAGGTTGGAGAGAACAGTTTGGGACTCACCAGCACGTAGGTGGTGATTCACACCTTGGAAGTGGATGAGGTCACCTAAGCTGAGACTTAGAGAAGAAAAGCACAGGCCTGAACTTGGGCACTCCAACATTTGGAGGTTGGGAGATAAGGAAAAGACAGCGATGGAGATCGAGGACGGGTAGCAGTGGGTATCAGAGGATGAGATGGCTGGACGGCATGGCATCACCAGTGAAATGAACATGAACTTGGGCAAACTCCGGGAGATGGTGAGGGACAGGGAGGCCTGGTGTGCTGCAGCCCATGGGGTTGAAGAGTCAGACACGACTGGGCAGCTGAACAACAACAGCAAGCCAGTGAGACAGGTGAAAAACCAAGACAGAATGGAATTCTGGAAGCCAAGGAAAGACAGTGCTTCAAGGACAGCATTCCAGCTCTGTTTCATGGGTTGACAGTTTAAGTGAGATAAGTAATGAAACCTGAACATGGGACTCGGCACTAAGGATTCTCAGTGAGCCTGAATGGAGGGTTCCGAGTGCCTGCAGGGAGAGGAAGTGAAGACAGAGAGCACAGAAAACTCTTTCAAGGAGTTTGTTATAGAGAGAGGCTGAGGAATGGGACAGTATCTGGAGGGGGGATGTACAGGAAGACGAGTTCTTTGTTTTAAACAAGAGCAACGACAGGATGTGTGCACGCTGATAGGAGTGAGCCAGTAGAAAGAGACCCATTAGGAAGCAGTCTTACAGAGGGAAGCTGTCTGAGATGCAAGGCGAGTTCTATTGGCTCTGAAGATATCAATGTGTTTTGCAGCTTATTGTCCCTCATCATAATTAAATTCAAGCTTTCAGTCAGAGATCAATGGAAATATTATGTAACATTTTTTCCTACCCACACTCATAAGAGGACCTGGTTTTAGGGTATGACCATGAGAGTGAGTGGCTGAGGTGGGGTGGATGACAAGCTCGCTGAAGAGGAGCTGAAGGAGCTGAGGCTGAAGTATCGGATAAATTGTACATAGATGATTTCCAAGAATCGTGAAATTTCCAAGAATCCTAAAACAGTAGTTCTAGAGAACTTGGCAGTGAGCAGGGAGCTTGACTCAGCCTCTGCCTGCGTGAATGCTGCCTGAGCTGGGAATCCCAGTGCATGAGCAGCTTCTACCTCTGGACAGTCACAATTTTAGGAAACTTTGTCCTTATTCTGCGTTAAACCCTAACAATTCCCAAAGTGCTCCTTGTCCGGTCCTCTAGAACTAGTCACAGTGAAACTAACTGGAAACAGTTCTAAGCACTTTCTCTTCCAGGAAGGACATCTTCAGGTCTTTCAACCATTTCTCATACATCCTGGTTTCCAGGACCTTCACTATCATGATTGCCCTCTTTGGGATATACCTGACTTAATGATTTTCTTGGAGTGACGGAGTCAGTAGCTCACTCTTCTGACTTTTCTGTTGTTCCAATCACTATGGTAATTAATAAATACTTTATTTGCCAGGGTGGGTGTGGGCACAACACTGTTACTGAGCGACAGCAAAATATCTTAACCAAAGCTCCACAATCTGTCTGCTAGCCCTAAATTCATCGTGACAGAGAGCAATGTTGTAGCAACGGAATTATTGACAGGATAGATCATCACAGGGTAAATGTTAGTAAGACAGGGCAGAAGAGATTATGAACTGATGAATCTGAAGGAGTACTTACAAGAACATCAGTGTTTTCAAAATAATTCCTCCAGTATGGTCTGATTTTCCTCTGTCCGCCAATGTCCCAGACATTCAGTTTAAAACCTTGTGATTGTACACTTTTGATGTTAAAACCCTGAAACAAAAACACCAAGTTTTTTCAAAACAGAAGGGATATATGTATACCTATGATTGATTCATGTTGCGGTTTGACAGAAAACAACAAAATTCTGTAAAGCAATTATCCTTCAATTAAAAAAAGAAAACACACCAAGTTTTACTAGACTTTGAGATCACATTTCTGACAAAGGTACATTTACCAGCTATGTTATTTGTTAATTCTGAGATACTCTGCGGGATAAGAAACAGATGATATTGAAAACAGTTTGCTCTGATAAGGAAGAAAAATGTATTTACACATGTTCCCATCACTTGGGTCGGAGTTGGTGCTCATGACATCATGCTGAGTGCACACAAACATGCCACTATTGGGAATGAGAACTACTCAGATAATCAACACAAACCACCTTCAATCCCCATCAGTCCTCAAGATGGTAATTTAATAGGATATTACATGTAACTAACAAACAAAGCTGAATCTGCAGACTCAACAGAACAGAACTAATGCGAAATTTAAAGAGTCAAGAGCTACAGTCTGGAATAAAAAGGAAAGAAATTTTCCTCATATGAACTGATCAGGAAAAGGAAGGAGCTGAACTTAGGACACGAAGCGGGAGGCTGGTTTGTAACTGGAGTAGTAGCCCTCATGTGGGTGGTGATGAAAACAAACAAAATGAACATGAGAAACTGTTCTTTAATAGGTATCTCTGATGAACTTGAAAGGATTCATTTTCAGGACAGTGATGCCAAGTGGAACTTTGGGGCAGGTGAACCAATCAGGGGGAGACAGAATGGTGAGCTGGGAGTTTGGGTGCAGAGAAACAAACTAACAAGAACTTTGGGGTTTGACGAGAAGGCATTTTATAAGCAAGAATTAAAAAAGAAAAAAAAAGAAAAAAATCTTCTGGCAAGAACGACATAATGAAATCAGGATTTGAAAAACCCGATCAACAGCTTGCTCTCATAGAAGTGACATTTCATCCAGAAGAGCTGGAGTTAGGTGGGTCTGCAGATGCCTCCACAAACATTTGCCTCTCCCGGGAGCTTGCCAGCACAGAAGGACAAGGCACAGGCAAGGGTACAGGAACATAGCCATCCAATTTCCACCAGGGAGAGTCAGTCACTGGAGGACAGCTGGGGACGATGCTGACTACAGCTCCTCGAAAATGCCAATGACTGAGTAAATTAGTTTTAGAAGTCTTAAGGGAAGTGCCTTACGCTTATTGTAAAAGGTAGCTTCATTCTGACTCATTGACAAAACCACTTTTATGCATTTAAAAATCCTACACTTAACTATGTTATTAAATGTCAGAGCCAGTAACAATGAATCCTTTCTGGAATGAGGGAATAAATAAGAGTAAATCCTGGAATTTGACATGTTAACTGTCTTAAAAGTCTGTAAGTCACCAAACCTAACAAATCTACTAGAAATTATTCTAAAGAAATAATAATGAATGGGTGCAAACATTTAGAGACATGTACTGTAATAGTACTGACATATAGAACAATGTAGAAAGACGTTCAAGATGTTATTATGAAGTGAAACAGATGATAAAAAACAGTATACTCTGTATGAGCCATTTTCCACTTTTTATTTTCAACATACCCACCAGAAAGACCCAAAAGGATACAGTTTCAAACGTTAACAATAGTTATGTCTGACTGGGCATTATAGGTGATATCTAGTTTCTCAATTTTACATATTTACATATTTTAAATTTACTACCGTAAGCATCTATTATTTTTTCTAATATAAAATAAAAACACGTCATAGGTGTGTTTTAAAAGACTAAATACAAAAAAAAAAAAGACTAAATACAAAAAAAAAAAAAAAGACTAAATACAAAAATACATTTGTTCTAAATACAAAACCTTGACTTAATATAGTAACACATCAAATAGAGCCTGAAAATTAGAACTGGAACTTGGGGTCCATAACTAGGACTTGATGTTCCTGCTCTCAGTATTGACCTCCTCATTTCAGTGATGCTCTTGACAGAGACAGCCTATCCCTAATACTTAAAAAAACAAAAACCAAAAACTTAGTCCTTCTTTTTCTGGCAGAAATCCTGACACACTAATAGGTGTTTTCAGCTCGTCTAGGCTAGACTTCTGTAATTTGCTCCTCCTCAGGCTATACATTAAATTTGTTCAGAAGCTGTAAAATTGCTCATTTGGTAGCAGTTGAAATGACTTTTCTGTAAAGAGCTGCAAATCAGTAAGACTCGCTGGCCGTCAAGTATACATACCAGCATGGCCATTCAAACAAGACATCGAGCTCATCGCACGACAGTGACAGAAAATGCTAAATAACTCAGGTTTTGCTAAAACCTCTTGTCCAAACACTTCAAAATAAGACCAACAGGGCTGTAATTAGTTAGGAAGCCCAAAGGCCTGGCCAAAGGTCAAGTTTTCTCAGGATTTCTTGTAGGAAAGGAGACCTAAAGAAACCTACTAGGGTTCTTCCAGGCAGGACTTGTCTGCAACATCCATGCTGGGAGTACCACCAGCCTTGGCTTTTGCTTGCTTAGCCTTAGGAAAAAGGAGGGTTGATGAGACTGGATTTAAATATATGGGCAGGGACTTCCCTGGTGGTCCACTGGCTAAGACTCTGTGCTCCCAACGCAGAGGACCTGGGTTCGTGCCCTGGTCAGGGAACTAGATCCCACATATTGCAACTAAGAACCAGAGCAGCTGAATAAATAATAAAAATAAAATTAGAAGCTTAAAAAAATAAAAGTAATTGGGTTTTTTCTTTTAAAAATTGACATACATTTGTATTTATGAAGTCTGAAAAATATACACTAACAGTGGTTTTTCTCAGGGTACTCTGCTTTTTTTTCTTTATCTCTGTGCTTTCTGTATTTTCTACATGTATTGATTTCAAAATCAGAGAAGATAAGGCTATTTCTAAAAAGGAATCACTTATATCTGAGGGAACTGATGTGTCTTGATATGTATAGACATATATATTTAAATGATTTCTTTTAAAAAAATTGTTGTAAAATATACATAACATGAAATTTACCATTTTAACCATTTTTAAGTTTGGTTTACTGTTGTGTAACCATCACTGCCATCCATCCATCATCTTGCAACTCTGACTCTCTATGCCCATTAGACAATAACTCCCCATCCCTCCCCATCTCCAGCCCCCTAGTCACTACTGTCCTCTTTCCTGTCTCTATGAATTTGACTACTTTAACTATATCATATAAATGGAATCTCTTGACACGTTTTTGAAATATGAGATTATTTTGAAACTGCATAGACTTTTCTCAGTAACAAAGAGACACAACTCTATCCCCCATTTTGTCTTTCACTTGCTATTAGCATCTTCCATGTGTCACGCAAGAATGGAGGCGAGGCAGAGCTCACCTGCGTCGGTGTGATGTGGCTGATGTCTTCAGATGCCAGCTGCTTCAGAAGAGTGGTCTTGCCAGCATTATCCAAGCCCAGGAGAAGGATTCTCACCTCCTGGTCTGGTGCACTTTTCAGTTTGCGCAGAATTGAGAGTAAGCCCTTGAACAACCACGAAGAACAGAGGTTACTTTGGGGGCACTGACTTTGATGTTACTGGGTATCTGAACGTCTTCTCCTTGACAAGAGTTCTTGGTTGTTGAGAGCTTATTGTTACCCATTTTAACATCATTTATTCCATTTGCTTATATGTTTTTGGCAGAAGCACTTCAGTAAATTCAGCAACTTAATAAATAGCTTAGCTCATTCTTGTTCCTCTTATTAATCCAGCTTAGCAGTTACCTTAGATCTCCTGGGAGTATGTACTTGTAACCAACTCATATTCCTGAAGCCCTTTATATACACTTGAGTATAGCACTCACCATATCTGACTGTAGGAAACTGATTTTTTAATTTTTTTCCTTTATATTAGAGTGAAGTTTCTTGTGGGTAAGGACTGCAGCTTTCATCTCCCACAACGCCTGGCACTTATTAGACACCATGATAGTTGCTGAACTAAATAGAATTACCCACCCAAGTTAATGCACAATTTCAAGGTACTATTTCAAAAAGTCATAGAAAATTGTACTTGGGGTTTTTAGAAAAAAGACTTTGTTTCAGTTCTTGTTTAAGCCTTCATCATTCAAAATACTCTATCATCTTCTAACTTTCACATGACCCTTACAGGATACCTGCACATTACAGATTTATCTATGTTCTTCAGATGAAGAATCTAATATTTAATACAACAGAGACATTGAGGAATTGAAAAGTCATTTTGGAAGCAAAAAATATCAAAATTTAACCAAGATATTTTTGAATAGTAATTTCATATTTTCACTTCTGTTTTTTGTTATTACTCTTTTTAATGGATGGAAATAAGTCATGTTGCTTTTAGCTAAAAACATAAGAAAAATCTTATAAGATAGTTATTTGTTGTGTCTTGCAGCTGACAATCATTTTCCAGTGAGGCATAGTTACATCAAGAATCAAAGAACCCCAGAGTTTAAAGGGCATATAATCTAATCTCCCAGCCCAAGCGGAAATTCCTTCAAACTGAGTCTTAGAATTATATAAAATGGTTATGTTTTTATCCACTTTGCATCAGGAAATAACTCAAACCAGTCGGTTCACTAAGATCAAATGCTAATTCTGTGAAATAATTTTCAACAATTGAGACTTTGGACAATGATATGCAAATATGCATAATTATAAAGAATTCCTTTCTGCTTTAGATACACTTTGTTTACCACTTCTAGTCTTGTATTCACACTGATCACATTAATCTCTCCATGCCTCAATTTTTACCAGCAATAAAATGTAAGGTTTAGTTTAAGAGACAAATTCTATCCCACAAGATTTTGAGAATAGAGAATGAACAGATTTGAAACAAACAAAAAAAGATAAGCAAGGATTTTTTTTTAATGGCATATTTTTTTTCTTTTTATCTAATACAGCCTTGAATTATTTGACACTATTCCTTTTTAAAACTCTATTTATGAGCAATCTCCCTAGCTTCTATTAGCTACATTGCAATCACTCATTTATAATACCACCTTTCAGAACAGTTAAAATTAGAATTCTGAGATCCTCAGGGGACTGGTGATATAAAAAGGCTAAGAACAGGGAAAATACATTGTACTATTCCTCCTGAGTTCCTGATTAGATGTCCTCATTACCCCTTCCAATAAAATTCTATAATAGCTGGAATTTATCACATTGGTACATTAAACAACAGTATAAGAAGAGAAAGTTCTTCTCATGCATCATTTACTAGTGAAGAAATTATGAAAAAAGGTATGTTTTCTATAAAATATTTTCAAGGTTCGAAGTAAACAAACGCTTTATGTTTTTCCTCATGTGTCTTTTTCAAAAAATCACTAAATACAAATACTGCTTTCTATAGGCTGAGAGCTTTTACACACTCATTATGTTCGAAATTTGATGATTAAAAGAAAAATATAATTTCTATTCATCTTGAAAGGAGAGAAGCAAAGCATGGGTGAGAAAGAAAACATTCCAACTACAGCTAAGCATTATTAATCTAATGGTATAAAAAAATAATATCTCTACATTTCCAATGAGCAATTTTTCCTCATCAGGAGACAATAACTTCACATGTTTCACTTTTAAATGAAATTACAGAGAAATGGAAAGTTCAGCTAATATTTTCTTCCAGCAAAATGACAAATGGCATCTCAAGCATGGTCTCAGGAAGACAAATGCAAATACAATACAGCATCATATTAACCCAACTCTTGAGGACAGGGGATCACAGGATTATCAGGGTTTGCTAAATAGGGAAGACGGTATTTATAGATATCAGGGTTCTGCCTGAAAGGGACAAAGTAAGCTGATTTGAGAGATTGGACAAAAGTGCAGAATAAGTCTACTCTGTGCTTCTATTCATATATATCTATATTTTAATGTCAAACGAAGGGAAACAGCCATTATAAGTCAATTTTATTATGGGGCTGAGTTTCGAGGTATTCAGTTCAGTTCAGTTGCTCAGTCGTGGTGTCCGACTCTGCGACCCCATGGACTGCAGCACATGGACTGCAGCACACCAGACCTCCCTGTCCATTACCAACTCGAAATACAAGGAAATGAATTTTTAGTGTACTTTTGGTCAATATAATCTATTCATTCATTTATCTTAAACACCCATAATGTGCCCCAACCAAGTACAATGACAACAGAGATAGGATCTCTGTGTAGGATGTGTACTCCTATGATGTGAAATAAAGGCAATTTAAGAAAGAGGAACTTTAGTTAATTGGGTATTGTGGGTTATCAGCAATGTATCCACACAAGTTACCTGCACCCTGGTGGACAGAAGTGGTCTGACTCAGCCACAAAACATTTGAACAGTTTTTATAGGCAAATCATGAACAGATATGCTGTTACCGATGGATATTTTATCTGCCTCAGTTTAAACTCAGCGACTGGCAGAGGCCTAGTGTGCTGACCTAAAATGACACAAACTAGGTCATTCAAAGAAACTGGGATGATGGAGAGGGGGAGAGGAATATGTTGGTACATGGAAAATAAATGTGGCTGTGAGGAGCAGCTAAAAATTAAGTATTAAAATTAGTAAGCCAACTGGCAAGTACATGCACTCCCTCCCCATAACTACCTTAAATGGAACAAACTTTAATTTATTTTTACCTCACCAAAAAACACTGGTGCTGCCCAATGAGGCCTTGTTAATTTCCAGGAACTCCTATAGCTTTGTTAGGGAGAACTTCACCCAAATCTTATCTTCTTTCTCCTTATCTCTCTACTAAATAAATACAGTGTTCCCTGAGGAACAAAATACTGGCATCTCCTCAGTTGGAGTGGGTTCTTACTTCATCAGTCTTAATGAAAAATACATTATGGGCTTTAGAGTTTCATAGACTTTTATTCAACATCCCGATGGGTAACCTCCGGCATAGTTTCATCTAGAAAATGGGAACAATATTTATATCTCAAGAAAAATGCTATGAAGATTCAGTCAGATGATGTATGAAGCATGCACATAGAGGGAACTCAAAACAGTTGTGTTTATATGTTTCTACTTTTCACCGACCATTTTTGACCAGAAAACATAAACTTGGGAACAATCTTCAAATGTCAAACATGCCTGATAAATACCACTAACTTTATATATTCAGAAATTACTCCATAAATAATTCCTGAATGGAGGATTCATCTATTAAATAACAGTGATTAGTTATGCACAAAAATTACTGTCAACTTAGTATTTCACCAAGGACTTGGTATCCTAAGGCAGGGGTAAAATAGCTGAACTTCTAGGGGTTCAGAGAAATCAATAATGGGTTTTTGTTGCTGTATTCCAAATTTTAAAAGAATAAATATATATTAGTCATAGCTGAAGGATTAAGACAATAAATAAACCTGGAACTCTTGTAGAGTTACTATGGGGACTCATGGTTATCAGATATGACATACTTAATCATACCACTGACCCTTTAAATTCCTTGTTCCACTTACAGTTCTAAGAATAGCCATACTTTTGGAGATAGAAAAAAAGTGTATTTTGGAAATCAGATGAAGACTCCTGAATAATTTGCCCTAATTCCTTATTGTTTATTGTAGGAAAAAAAATAAAAAAAGAAAAACATCTGTCTTGATCACTGAATACAACAGTTGTATACAACAGTGTTGTATACACTGTCAATTTGTTGTATACAGTGTCAATCTGTACCTGGAAACATAAGCAGTGGCTAATTTATTGTGGCTTGTAATTATAAATTAAACAATCATGAAATTACACAGGCCACTTCACTGATAAACTGGGAAAAGTTAGCCAGCTCGCATGCGTTTCTCCTTTATGATGCCATCCCTTTCTCCGTTGGTTTGGCATGCCTTTTTCATTTCAATTCTAGTTATTTTCTGTGTAAATATTTATGTTTGTACTCATTTGTTGAGAAAAACTTAGCCTTTAAATGGACAGCTCATGTATAAACGATTAATAAAAAGCAAACATGTAAAAATCTGTTTAGCCCAAGGTTAATAAAACTGCAATGTAGCAAGTGTTGAAATGTGATTGGCAACTTCTACTTCTTTAACAATCTGACAATGTTAAATCAATTGAAATAAATTTTTCCTATCAAAATTTACTCATTGGATAATCTAACCAAGTGTACATGTGTTGTTTTTTTTTTCCTTCTGGACATCTAGCTTTTTCTTCATAAATCAACAGAAGTGGTTCAACAGTTCTAAAAGTCAAAAAGGGACTGAAGTTGGGACAGGAAAGTAACTATAAGCTTGAGTGCTCTCTGCAGTTGGTAAATTTATCAGTCTGCTCCAAACGCTCCAAAATAAAATTTTTCTTCCACTAGTTTTAAAACCACTCAATTTCATTTTAATACCCTCCAATTAACTGCAGAGAAATAAAAAAGGAACAGTGTCAAGCGTCAAATACGTCACATAATTTAAGTATTTGGGAAAGCTTTATTCTGGCCTGAAGAGAAAAAGCTAGCCCCAAATTGATGGTCTCTCTCCCTTTTTAATCTACTCCAAACTGAGATTAAGGCCTTTGCTTCTGGTGTGGTCATATGCAAAGGAAGGTGGCAACAGGTCCGAAGTAAATACTAAGGATCGGGCAGCAAATCTGCCTCCACCAACACGTACTGAACAGGAGACTGGCTATCACCAACAACCAGACCTTGCAGAACCCTCAGCAAATAAAAAACTCGGGACTGCAGAAGCGCGCCCGACACGCAGACACCGAGACTGCTTAAAATACACCAGACATCCCTTCCGAGCGGCACCTCTTTGTGTCCGGGGATTTACACCCTTACCCCCCAGAGGCCCTCACACCGCGAGGAACAGGAGAGCTGGGCTACCATCTCCCCTGGTACCGCCAGCGCGACCTCAAAGACAGCAGCGCTGGCCCTTCTCCCCGCTTCTAGCCGGGCACTGGTGAACCCCACTTTCCTGCGGCACTGGGGGGCCGATTCCTTGGGAAGATTTAATCCTGCGTGCAGAAGCTGCTCTCCGCAGCTCCTAGGATCCGCCCTCATCCCAATCCCCAGAGTAATGATGGAGCCCTGGCTGCGTACCGCGACAACCCAGCACCCTTCCAGACCCTTCCCCTAGTTTCGGACAGGTTGCAAGCCCCGCCTTCCTCCCCAGGCCCAGATTCCCTCCAGGGCCCACACTCGGGGCTCCCTGCCGCCCCCCGAAACCAATCCAGGACTCGGACATCAAGCTGAGCGCCAGTCCGTGCCCTCCTGTCTTTAAGCGCGGTGGCCTCCCTTGGGCCAGGGGGAGGGAGGCAGGTGACCGACCAGATCCGGAGGGACCCAGGCCCCCACACTCACCATCCTCCCGCCGAGTCCCTCCTCCTCCTCCTCCTCCTCCTCCTGCCTCCCCCGTTACCAGGGGCAACTGCTACGGTGCCGCCCCCGACGTCTCCCGTAAGCACGGCGGAGGAGCAAAGCAGCAGGACGGGGCGGGGTCCAGCTCCGCTTTCCCCAATGTGCGCAAGCGCGCCAATGTGCCCTCCCACTGCGCAGGCGGGCTGCTGGAGCGGCCGGAGAAGGCGGCAGGCTGCAGAGACCCGGGGAATGGTGAAACCTCGCACACGTGGCCCGCGGGGGCCACCCGGCTTGTGATTGGTCCAGGGCGAGGGCGTTAGGGCGGGGCGAGGGGAGGTTCCCGGGCGGAGGCCAGAAGTGCATCCTGGCCTGGCAGCCAAAGCGCGCTGCTTCTGGAGGCAGCTGTGTTAGTGCGTTTCTCCCGGGACCAGGTGAGGATCTTGAGAGGAGGCCTCCTGCAACATCTACCTGTGCCAGGTTTTATTCCCCACATCCCAGGAGGGAGTTTGCGTTTCTGTCCTGACTCTGCCCAGGCGAGGCTGCAGCGCGGGCTGGGCTTCCACCTGCCAAAGCCACGTGGCAAGAGAAGGAGCTACCTGTGGACCTCGTTAGGGCCTCCAGTACCTTCGTGTGCTAGGCTGAGGAACGGGGGCGTCATGGGTTGCGCACCCGTCTCCACCCATCTGTGTTAGAATCCGGACTGGAGGAGTCCTCGTGGTGGGAGGCTGCGTACAGGAGGGCAAGAAGCTGCCTGAGGACTGGCCGTGAGGGCTGGGATGAGCTGATCGTTTACGGGGGTGAAAGGCGTTTGGGATGGATGGCTTTGCTGAACCAAGTTGGCAGGGTCGGTGCGCCGCCTGCAGCCCTGAAGGAGGCAAAAATGGGCCTCCACTTCTAGGCAAGAAAGAGTGAGAGAGATTCTGGGTGCTATTTCCCAGCCCTTCCCCGTGCAGAGGACAGGAAGAAGAGTTACCGTATCTGTGCCCGGTCCTAGTCTAGACTCTGGAGACACAGCAGGGCCTAAATCTGCCCTCATGGAAGTCACATCCTTCCTAGTGAAATGCTTTTCATACAAGCTTTCATTTCATTGTCACAGCCCTAGAAATTGGTTATTTTAAGGGTTAAGAGTGGGGACTTGAATCCAGTACTTTCTGACTCTTGAGGAATTATTATTTTTGGCCGCTCCTTGCGTGGCATGTGGGGATCTTTGCTCCCCAACCAGGGATTGAACCTGTGCCGTTGCAGTGGAAGCAGAGTCTTAACCACTGGAATGCCTGGAAAGTCCCTGGGCTTAGCTATTGTTAATAGTTTCCTCCAGGTTTTGGGCTTTGCTGCTTTTAAGACAGCAGGTTTTCAGACTAGTTAAGATTGTTGGAATGAAGGCAGATTTTCCCTGAATGGTTCTTAACAATTTATGTATTCAAGTCAAGTTTCCACCTATCTCTAGCCTGCTGGTTCTAGTGTGAAAAAGGCAAAGCAGACTTCTCTTCTGAAATTGCTTGGATTCTAACATCACGGCTGCCAGGGAGTCATTTGATTGTACATAGGCATATACTACCAGGGTCTGCTGGTTTAATTATTAGTCTCATTCTCCGAGTTGAGCTAGGTAGCCTTGACACCAGCCCTTGACATCTCAGTGGACTTTGTGTTTGAACTGCTTGAGTCTTTGACTGCCTTGATCTTCCTCTGATGGGAGTACCAGCGATGATGTTTTGTTTTTTTCCCCTAGTAGGGGATTCAAATAGGAGATCTTGGGTGCTTCCCCGCCCTTGCAAAAGGACACTCTAGAAAGAGTTTGGAAAGCCTGTTTCCCAAACTCTAATACTGTCTGCTTGAGAAAATCAGCTCTCCCTGGAAGGATGAGCATTGCTTAAGGAGAGTTAGTAGGTTATATAATTTTTAAAATATTTTCCCTTCTTCCCTCTTTCTCTCTCTTTCTTGAGACAAGGACCTTTTAATGGATAAGAGGACCCATCTAGGTGACTCTAAGCCTTGTGACTTTGTGGTCTCTCTCTTTTTTTTTTTGTCCACTCTGCACTGCCCCCTTGGCAGTGAAGGGTGGAGTCCTAACCGTTGGACCATTAAGGAATTGCTGTCTAAGCCTTATAACCTTGGGAAAATACGGCCCTAGCTGTTATCAGATCTTTGGATAAATAAGACTAGATCTGTTTCCTGCTTACATTTGTATCTGCCACAGTGCAGGACCATGTCTGCCATAAACGCTCACCACGCTAGCTCAATGCATGGGAGCCTTCTTGGCATCAGTTTCTTCATCTGTTAGTTGAGATCTTGGATCCCTAATGTTTTTGAGCTGTGACATTCTCTAATCCTGGAAGGAAAGGGAAGTATTGGTAGTCACCTGTTTGATTTCCACCTCTCCCCCATTCCCTGTAGTGGAACCCTGGATATCATAGTCACCTTTTAGGAAGTATTAGATATGGCTTGTGTAGGAAGAGGGAGTGTAACTGCTGAAAACTCAGCGACCAGTAGGACTCAGTATAGGAGGGGTAGACAGTTTGCAGCTTCATGAAAGAAAGCCTGTTCTTACTTTTGTAACAAAGGCAGGTTCTGAGTTTGACAAAAAAAAAAGGAAAAGATGTGGGGGACATCCTTGATGTCTGGAGAACCCAAGAATAAGTCGGAATGCATTCCGGGCAGGCAATAAGTGTTTTTAGAGGGCAGATGAGGACTATAGCATGCACCTTACAGTCTGTCAGGGGAGGCAGATTTTACACTAATAAGCATCAAGAAAGTGACAATTACAAAAGTCCCTCGTGCTGCAAATGAGGACAAGATACTATGGGATTATGTAACCGAAGGGCTTGAGTTTGCCCTGAAGGAATCACAGAACTGTCCCCTTGGGGGCCAATGGAATGGGAAAAAATGTTAAGACATAGAATTTAGATTTTTTTTTCCTTTTATGTTTTACATAAGACAGGACAAGGATGTTCCTTGGTAATGAAGGCAAAGATTCTTGCATGACTTAGCAAATGATTACCCCTTCATGGTAGAAGTGCTCTCACTGTGAAAGAAAGAGGATTTTCCAGTGTTGGATTGTTCAGTTGAGAGTGGAGAGGGATGGCCGAGAAGTGTGTGTGTGCTGTGTGTGTGTGTGTGTGTGTGTGTTGAAGGGGAGGCATAGCATTGGGACTGTCTCCATCTGGTGCAAGTGTGGGGCTCTATAAGCCAAGGCTTACTGTTTCTCCTTCCTCTAGAATAAAGGGGAACTCTTTCCCCCTCCTGGCTTCAGCTGGGACTGGGTGAAATGCCTTTGGTCTTTGCACCAGCCCCCTGCAGAAGCCACGTCAGCCTGTCCTTAAGGGACAGAGCCTGGAGCTTCTCCTGGCTCTGGTGGGTGTGAGAGGGGCACGTGTCCCCCACCTTAACAGTCTAAAAGTTGCTGTCTGCTTTCGCTCTACCTCATCTGTTGGCTGCTTCTGCCTGCTCCCTCTCTAGTTGTGCTCAGATTTTTGATGGGTTACCTTTTAAATATAGTGGTCTTCCTGGGTATTTCCTTGGATAACTGCTCTTCCCAGTCTGCATTTTCTCGTTTGAAAACTTTATCTTAAACCACCCCCATGTTGCTCCCTCTCTGTTTTACTTCTAACCCTGGTCTCCGTGCTGGGTTTTAAGCCCAAATATCCAATTGCTGACTGACTGGACCTCTTCTTTAGCAAATACACGAATTGCTTTGCTGGACATTGAGGCAGCAGTGGTGAGCAACATGGACACAACTCCTGGCTTTAAGGAGCTAATGGCCTAGTGGGGAACGGTGGGCATTAATTCAGGTAAAACCAGAGTATCACACATGGCATGGCTCTGAAGGACGAGTACTGAGCCAGGAGCTCATAGCAGTGCATGCGAGGGAGGAAGGGGTCCTTCAGAGACTTCTCTGAGCAAAGGTTTCAACCAAGATCTGAGGGATGGGTAGGTGCTTGTCATCCACACTGTCTCTGCAGAGCAAAAGGCTACTTTTGGGGGAGGGCAGGGGAGTCCTGGAGATTACTTGCTAATGCACCTGCTTTTAAGGCTGCTATTTATTCTGAGGTGACTTTGCTGTAACTTCCCTTGCAGCTGTAATAACCCATGGGTCTTTACTGAGGCAGTGTCTTGAGTGGAAGTTCCCTTTCATTTTACTATATAATATAAAACATTTATTCTTTACCAGGTCTGTGGTTTCCGTCAGCAATGTTTCCTTTCTCTAATGGGAAATCCTGGCTTTGTTTGCTCAAGTCTGTGAGTGCCTTGGATCTACATGATTGTATAACTCAAGAAGATAGCCTTATTTTTTAATTATTTTCTTTTGGCCACACTACGTGGCATGTGGGATCTGGGTTCTCCAACCAAGGATTGAACTCGCATCCCCTGCAGTGAAAGTGTGAAGTCTTAAACTGGACCACCAGGGAAGTCCACCTAGCTTTTTTTTAAAAAAACATGTTAACCACTATCATTTTCACTTTATATACTTTGGCACTGAATTATTACAAAAATTACTTCTATAACTTAAAGTTTTCAGAATGAGAAAAACAAATGGCCAAAGACATGAATAGATGCTTAATCTCATTAAGAATCAAGAAAATACAATTTAGGAGCTTCTCTGATGGTCCAGTGGTTTAGATTCTGTACTTCCACTGCAGGGGGCACAGGTTCGATTTCTAGTAAGGGAACTAAGATCCAACATGTTGCACAGTGCTGCCAAAAAAATTTTTTTTAATAAATTAAAAAAATATATAAATGAAAATAACAATATTATTTCTGCCCATCATATTGGAAAGGAAGAAAAGATTTATTTATCCATTTTGGTAAAAGTTTGACTAAAGGAGCATTATCGTATACAACTGGTGGAAAAATCAATTTGAATTATATTTATAAAGATATAATTTAAAACATGTACGTCCTTTGATCCAGCAATTTCACTTCTAGAAATCTACCTTAAAGGTATAGTTGTGGCATTTCCCTGATGGTCCAGTGGTTAAGACTACACTTCCAATGCAGGGGGCGCAGATTTGATCCCTGGTCGGGGAGGGAACTAAGGGGTTTCCCAGGGGGGTGCTAGTGGTAAAGAACCTGCCTGCCAGTGCAGGAGACATAAGAGATGCGGATTTGATCCCTGGGTCGAGAAGACTCCCTGGAGGAGAGCATGGCAACCCATTCAGTATTCTTACCTGGAGAGTCCCGCAGACAGAGGAGCCTGGTGGTTACAGGTCATGGGGTTGCAAAGAGTCAGACATGACTGAAGCAACTTAGCATGCACACCAAGGAACTAAGATCCCACATGATGTAGTCAAAAAAAAAAAAAAAGATATAGTTGCCATATACACAAAGTAATGTATATAAGGATACTCTCAGCAGTGAAAAATTGAGAATAACCCAAATGTCTACAAAAGGATGAAATTAAGGCACATGGAATAGTATGTAATAATTGAAGAGTGAGATGGAGCTGTATATATAAAATGGAGAATTCTCTAAGATGCGAAGCAAAAAAGTAAGTTGTGTATCAGTGCCAGTTAGTTTATCGCTCCTTAGCTCCAAATCTACCCTTTTTTTTCCGGCCTTGTGATCCTAGACGTTGTAAACCTTTTTCCTTTGCCCTCTGATATGATTTTAAGCTCTACCAGTAGAGGGCGCTGGAGGAGCACCGATGAGGAAGGGGTGGTCTTCCGGGTGCCTGGGTACTTGCCTCCTGTCTGTCAAGTTTCAACAACACCCTACCTGGCAGCTTCCGGTTAAGTTCCCTCAGCTTCCCAGAATCTCAGTGGCTTCCTGGTGAGTTTCATCAGCCCTCCAACTCAGCATTCCAGCTCCTCCAGTTTCCTGCCTGCCAGCCCTTCAGGGGGCAGCGCCTCAGCAAACTTTGAAGAAGACTGCTCAGGGCGTGCCTGTGAACTTGTAATTCAATATATATGGAAGATTCTCAGGTGATTTTTTTTTTTCCAAGAAAAAAAGACAAATGATATAGTAGAAGAAGATATATAAGTTAAGTCTCAAAATTATTCCTTAAGAAAACAAACAAACAAACAGATGAGCAGGTATTATTTAGTGAAGAGGGAGAGGAAGAGCATCCTAGACCGGCATTTGCAAAGGAGAAGCATGAGGACTTCCCTGGTGTCTGCCTACTGCAGGAGACCCGGGTTCAGTCCCTGGGTTGGGAGGATCTCTTGGAGAAGGAAATGGCAACTCATCCCAGTATTCTGGCCTGGAAAATCCCATGGATGGAGGACCGTGGTAGGCTACAGTCCATGGGGTCGCAGAGTTGGACATGACTGAGCAACTTCACTTTCTGAGACAGATGGCAGCCTCTTGCGTTTGAGGAAGTCTCATAGCACTTGAAACTCAACATGAGGAAACTCTAACTCAGTGTTTTCTCCCTTAAAGCCAGTTTTTCTGTATTCTCAGCATGTTACTGTCCCAGTCAGAAACCCTATCGCTCTAGGTATTGTGATGACCAGAGGAACTTATCAGGACTCCCTCTCTGCTCTGCTTCCAGTTTGAGGGGCTGCTGAGGGAGAAGTAGTCACTTTGTAACATCCACACGCCTTCTTTTGGTTATTAGACCAAACGCTGATTCACATACTGTGGAGAAGGGATCTTACAAATGTAATTAAAGTCCCTAATTGGTTGACTTTGAGTTAATCTAAGGGGAGATTATCCTGGGTGGCCTGACTTAATCAGATGGAATCCCTTTAAAAAAGGGCTGGGCCCCCTCCAACCTGAGGTTAGGAATTCTAAGAGATAGATAGATAGACAGGTAGGTAGATCTCCTATTGATTCTGTTTCTGTGGTTGAGCTCTGACTGATAGAATTCCTGCTATACCCAATCACTTGGCACATCCTCAGATTTGGCTACTTTAAATGCTTCTCTGCTTTTGGTCTTCCTTCCAGATCTGGTGCATCTGGGTTCACTTGAGCCCCATTTCTTCTTGCCTAGATTATTGGGGGTTCCCTTCCAGCTGGTCTCAGCGTCCTCTGAGGTCTTGCCACACCCTGTTTACGTCCATGTAATTGCCTAGACTGTTCTTTCTAAACTACACATCTAATCTTATCACTTTTCCTAAAATTTGTTAGTGGCTTCCTGAAACTTTCAGGCAGAAGTTCAAAAGCCATAGCTTTTTTACATGACTCTATTTTTTTCCTCCTTGCTGGCATATAGATCACATGTCTTTTGAAAATTTTTTTTAGTGGTTGCCCTAAAGTTTGCTGTATATATTTACAACTAGTCCAAGCCCACTTTCAAATTATACTGTCCCACATCACGGATAGTCCAAGTACCTTAGAGTCTTCCCAGCTTCTCCATCCCATCTATTATAGCATTGTTGTCATTCCTTCTTTTTTTTTTAAGTAAATATTTATTTATTTTATTTTTGGCTGCACTGGGTCTTTATTGCTGTGTACAGGCTTTCTCTGGTTGTGACAAGCAGGGGCTGCTCTCTAGCTGTGGTGCGCCGACTCCTTATTGCCGCGCCATTGTGGAGCACAGTCTCTAAGGCATTCAGGCTCAGTAGTTAACAGCGCATGGGCTTAGTTGCCCCACAGCATGTGGGGTCTTCCCTTAGCAGGGATCGAACCTGTATCCTCTGCATTGGCAGGGGGACTTTTAACCACTGGACCACCAGGGAAACTCCCATTCAGGTTTTCAAAATATGAATTTACTTATTTATTCAGCTGTACTGGGTCTTCATTGTGGCATGTGGATCTTTAGTTGCACCATGTGGGATCTTTAGTTGTGGCATTCAGGACTTTTCATTGTGAAATACAAACTCTTAGTGGCATGTAGGATCTAATTCCTGACCAGGAAACAAACACGTGCTTCCTACCTTGGGAGCACAGGAGTCTTAGTCACTGGACCACCAGGGAAGACCCCCATTTCCATCTTTATCTGTGACTGTTTCTACTTTCGATGTGACCCCATGCCTTTTCTCCTGCAGAATGATCTCTCCTACCTTCTGGGGCTTCACCCACATTCCACTTCTTTTGGGAAGCCCCCCTTGATTTTTGTGACCCCGTCCCCAACTCAGCTTCCTCTTATCTTGTGCTTATCGTAGCCGTCCGTGTTATCTGCTGTTCCACAGGTGGGCTCTTGTTCCCCAGTCAGACTCAGCTCCCCAAGGACAGACCCTGTATTGTCCCTTTCCCCTTTCTTGCCCCCCTCATGATCATGCCCTGGGCTGGCCACTGGCAGGCACTCAGGAAACATTTGGTGTCCAGTGGCCCAGATGGGTGACAGTTCACTGGGCTCTTCCTGACCTGAGTGAGGTGATGCTAGCGGCTGGGGTGAGCTGTCTCCTATAGTGGGAGGTGCTCAGGGCCTCTGGGGAAGGTTTTGATTCGGGGGACCGTCCTCATTTTCCCTCTGTTCTGAAGTTCACAATTTTGTGTATGGGCAGGATGGAGGCTGATCTGTCTGACTTTAACATTGATGCCCCCCGTTGGGACCAGTGCACTTTCCTGGGGCGGGTGAAGCACTTCTTCAATATCACGGACCCCCGCACAGTCCTGGTACCAGAGCGGGAGCTGGACTGGGCCAAAGTGATGGTGGAGCAGAGCAGGTGAGTGGCTGGGGGACGGGCTAGGGCAGCATCGTTGGGTGCCCTAGGGGACAGGTGGAAATGGAAGATGAGGGGATAGGCAGAGAGCTCAGGGAGGTGGGGGAGCCAAGAGCAGGATGACTCAGGGTGGAGGTTGGGAGGTAACACCTGCCTGTTGTCTTTGGGTGACAGGATGGGGACTGTGCCCCCGGGCACCCAGGTGGAGCAGCTTTTCTATGCTAAGAAGCTGTACGACTCGGCCTTCCACCCTGACACTGGGGACAAGATGAACGTCATTGGGCGGATGTCCTTCCAGGTCCCTGGCGGCATGATCATCACAGGCTTCATGCTCCAGTTCTACAGGTGCGACTGGGGAGCAAGGCAGTGCCAGGGGCGCCACTTAGACCTGCTAGGGAGGGAGCCATAGTAGGATTATAGTAATAGCCATTTTTACTGATTCCTTACCAGATACCAGACACTGTGTTCAATTGTTCGCATATATCACCTCATTTAATCTCAGCAGCCCTACAGAGAGGTACTGTCTTCATCTTCATTTTACAGATGAAGAACTGCAGTTCTAGAGAGGTTATGTAACTTGTCCATGTGCACCAGCCAGGAAATAGTGGTGCCTGGCTATATGAACTGAGGCAGTTCTTTCTAGGACACTCAATGACTGAACTCTTCTACTTCTTTAAAAAGTACTTATTGAACAATGAATTTAGTGTATTTTTATAACATAATACCCAAAAAATTAAAAAATGGGAAGACACTTTCAGTCCAGTTGGAGAGAGACTTTCTCTGTTCCCCTTCCTCTTTTCTCTCCACCTCTTCCCTCCCTAACACATTCGGTTAGCCAATTGTTGAGCCAGACCTTGGGCGAGGTAGAAAGTAAAAGTGTTAGTCGCTCAGTTGTGTCCGACTCTTTATGACCCCATGGACTGTAGCTCACCAGGCTCCCCTGTCCATAGAATTCTCCAGGCAAGAATACTGGAGTGGGTTGCCATGCCCTCTTCCGGGGGATCTTCCTGACCTGGGGATCAAACCTGGGTCTCCCACACTGCAGGCAGATTCTTTACTGTCTGAGCCACCAGAAGCCCACCCCTCAAGGAGCACCCAGTTTTGTTGAGACCAAGAAGGAACAGTTACAGTCTAGCTTGCCAAGTGGTAGGCTGGGGGCAGAATATGGGGTGGTGGGAGCAGACATCATGGAATGACTAACTGTGTCTCAGGAAGGACAAGGGAAGGGTCAGGAAGGTTCCAAGGAAGAAGAGATCTCTCCAGAGAGCAGGATTCAGCCGTATACCAAGAGGCTGGGGGTGTGGATGTTCCAGGCAGAGGGGCAACCTGTGCAGAAGAGCAGGTACAGGAGACAGCATGGGAATGGCCTGGGGAGTGGCAGGTTTGATTGGTGTCCCCGAGTGCTCCTCCCATCCTCCTCCTGCCTCTCCCCGCCTCTCTCCTGGTAGGACGATGCCAGCAGTGATCTTCTGGCAGTGGGTGAACCAGTCCTTCAATGCCTTAGTCAACTACACCAACAGGAATGCGGCTTCCCCCACGTCGGTCAGGTAGGAGGCCTGAGCCCCTGCTGTCTGTGTGGGCCTGGAGCTGTCTTCTTGCCTTAGGGGGAACAGTCCTTCTTAAGGGGTTCTGGGGCTGTCTGTCCTCACTGGGTGGGGCCTGCCCTGGGTGGGTGACCAGGTCTCTCTTTTCAGGGTTTGGAAGTACTAAGTGGACTAGGAGAGTATCTTCTTCCTAGATGAATTCAACATTCACTCATTCATTCATGCTACCAATATGTCTAGAGTGTGTATTAGGTGTTGGACAGGGTCCTAGGGGCAGGGGATACATTTGAGTAAGACATGTGTGGTCTCTGGAGTTTAAGGTCTTTTTAGGAAAATAAGCATAATGGTCTCAGTCTGTGATAGCTGCCATTAAGGAAATAAACAGATGACATGCTGGAGAACAGCAGAAGGGCGTCTGTACAGGTAGGCCAGGTCAGGGAAGTCCTTTCTGCAGAGCTGATGTTTCAGCTGAGTTTTGAAAGGTAAGGATTTAGCCATGCAAGAGCCCGGGGAAAGATTCCCAGGAGAGGGAGTGGCAGCATGCAGAGGTTCTGAGCAGGCAGGCACTTGGTGTGTTTAATGTACTGAAAGGAGCATCTGAGTGAGTTGGAGGGAGATCCCAAGCTGAAGCCGAGGCTTTCAGGCATGAAGCCACATTTCCAGCCTTTATCACCCAAGCTTTGGTCCTGCCCTCAGCCACCTGGAGTCCCCACTCCCAAACATCTCTCTCCTCCACTAGGCAGATGGCTGTTTCCTACATCACAGCCACAACCACCGCAGTGGCCACTGCTGTGGGCATGAACATGTTGACAAAGGTACAGTCTGGGGCCGCTATGGACATGGTGGTCACAAGGGGGCAGCAAAGTCTTAGGGAAAACTTTTTTTTCCCCCAGGTATGGGTGGTTTCCCAGGCTGGAAGAGTTGGGTTTGGGTCAGAGCCTAGCCAAGTTGTGGGAAGTTCAGCAGGGCTGTCCCACGTTGGTTTTTCTCCGGCCTTTGAGGGAATTTGGGTTCCCTGACTGGGTGTCAGGATATGTGGCGGTAGTGAGGTCTGATTTCTTATTTTATCGTCCTAAAGCCCCTTCCACCCCCATCTTCCAGGGGCTGACCTACACCCCTTGTCCTCTTCCCCCACAGAGAGCCCCGCCCCTGGTGGGCCGCTGGGTGCCCTTTGCCGCCGTGGCTGCAGCTAACTGTGTCAACATCCCCATGATGCGCCAGCAGTGAGTACAGGGATCCCTTTTCCTCCCTGTAAACCGCAAAGTCAGCAGGGACAGGGCAGGCGGCCAAGGCAATGGGTGGCTTTGGCGGCTGAGGTGGGGGTGGGGAGGGCTGCATCCGAGGATCAGTGGCTCCAATAGTGATGGCTGCAGGAGTGGCAGGTGACCTGGGTTTTGTCTGTGATGAGTGCTGTGGGAGTCATTCTCTGGATGGACTTGGAGGTTTAGCATGGACCTGCGGGGTTTGGCACCAGCTCACGTCCTTTCAACTACAACTGTATTTAAGTCGTGAACTTGGCCTACTTCCAGAGCCCTGGGGATGGCTCACAGAATGAAACGCAGCAGAGCGAGGTATCCAAAGATAAAACAGAATCAAGAGGCTCGGAGGGAAGCCAGAGGGGTAGATAGATGTTTTCCAGCTGCCAGGCTCTAAGCTTCACAGCAGGAAAGGGGATAGGAGAAACCCACTGTGTCTCACAGCTCTTGTTCCTTGACTAGAGAAAGCGAAGATATTCCCCTGCCACAACATTTAATAATGTAATAGATGTAAAGCACTCAAAATAGCACCTGGAATGTAATATTAAGCATTAGCTACTGTTCCCACAGTTGCCATCGATGCCTTCCTGGTCGTCACCGATGTCACAAGGCACATTTTCTTAGGACCAGTAGTCAATGGAAAGTGATCACAATCACCCTTGTAGAAAGAGCACACCATAGAACAGCCGTGTATGCTCTCTACTCGACTCCTCCCCCTCCCCCATCCAGTTGCTCCTTCCAACGAATGAATGAGTCCCCACCACCACCCACCTGGTCTCGGATGGAGTGCTGGCTTGAATATAACAGCCAGAGTGGCTCATGTTTGTGGAGTCAGGCACTGGACCCAGCACTTGGCAGGCATCATCCCATTTAATCCTCACCAAATCCTATTAAGTGGGCACCGTGATTATCCCCATTTTGCAGATGAGGGTAACTGTGTCTTTAGAAGGACTAGGGAACTTGCTCAGGAGCATACACTTGTTCTGCAGCTTCCAGATCTAGCCTAGGCAGCCAGGACCTGGCACTTGCTCTCTGAGCCTCTCCCCTAGATATCTGCGGTATCACTCTCTGGAGTGGGGAAGGCTGCTCCAAGGGCCAGGCTGCAGGAGGTGGCTTCCTAGAGCTGGAATGCCCTGGCCCCGGTCCCCTGGTGTGTCACATCGCTGGCGGGCTTCCAACACACCCCTTTCCCGCGTCCAGCACCTCCTGTCTGTGTTTAGGGAACTCATCCAGGGAATCTCTGTGAAGGACAGGAACCACAATGAGATCGGTCATTCCCGGGTGAGCAGAGGCCTGCCCTGGGGGTGGGAGGAGGGAGTTCCCTCTCAGACCCTGTCCTGTTCTTAGCACTCAGAGCAGGCCTGGGCTAAAAACCTTTTCCCTAGCGCCATCCTCCTTCCTCATCGATCTTCCCTCCATATCTCTGTTCATGTCATTTCTGGTCCTGAAGCCATAAGAATGTGGCTGGGTGGGAGAGGGTCAGGTATGGTCACTTAACCCCTGACAGATCAATCCCTTCCCCTTTACCAGCTCAGACTGACCATGACTCTGACCCTGGCCCAGCCCTCTGATGCAGCCTGTGGACTCTGCATGAAGTCATAAGCAACAGCTTACTTTTTTCTGTCCTCAGAGAGCTGCAGCCATAGGCATCACCCAAGTGGTTATTTCTCGGATCACCATGGCAGCCCCTGGCATGAGTAAGATGGGGAAGCCCTCCCATCCTGGGGGATCCTGGCTCATGTGATAGAGACCTCAGCCACACTTGGGGTGGGGGGTGGGACCCCAGCCTCTATAGGCATTCGTCTCAAACTGGTTTGCCTAAGTGTTGAGAGCCACTGGAGAGTCATACCGTAAATCCTGGAATGCCAGTTAATCAGAGATTTGGTGGAGAAAGTTGTTTTCATTTAACAAACATTTCTTAAGTTCCTTCAATGTATTGGGGAGATAGTGGTAGAGAAAATAAGTTCCCTGCCCTGGTTTTGCCTCCAGCAGGGACAGGTTACAGAGCAGGATACAAAACTTGCTTCAAAGATGGTTGGTTGTGAGAAGGGTGCTCTGGGCCCATGGTATCCATCCTCCTATGGTTATAGGACTGCAGGTCGAGGAGTCTGGGAAGCATCTTCTTCTGGTACTTGGGGGAGAAGTGGATGTGGCCATGCCTATACATCCTTCTCCCCAATGAAAAGTATTTTCTGGAACTTCTGGGTAAGGAGGGGGAACCACTCAGTCTGTGACCTGACTTCAGAAGGGGAAGTGTCACAGCCTTTTGCCTGCCTCTTCCAGTTCTGCTGCCGGTCCTCATGGAAAGACTGGAGAAGCTGCGCGTCGTGCAGGTGAGTGGACTCTCCTTTGCACCTTCACTGCCTGGGGCCCCAACCACACCCGGGCTGGGGGTCCCTGACCCTCTCACCCTTCCATCTCATTCCCATCCCCTCACCGCACTCCGGGAAGGCCCCTCCCAGTGCCCTGGGATCTCAGCCTTGTCTGCTAAGAGCAAGGAGACTCACCTCCCTCCGCTGCAGAGCCAGGGTTTCCTGCCTGTGGGTTTCTAGCTAGCTTGTCAATGTGGGGTTCATCTCGAAGTATGTAAGTCCCACGTGGGTCTGTCTTTCGTCTTGTTTCTGCACAGAGAGTCCGGGTTCTGCACGCCCCTTTGCAGGTTCTGCTGTCCGGGTGCTTGTGAGTAACGTGTTTTCTCAGTTGGCGTCTGTGGTGGGGCACCCAAGATCTGTCTTCCTGTGTTACCCATGTGGGAAGACATGTACTCCTTTACCTGACTTCAAAAGCACCCAGGCTTGAACACCTGTGGCCCCTCTGACTCATCCCATCTTTCCAAGGGCGCTGTGCTGGCCCTGTGCACACACCAGGGTGGAAAGCAGAACCCTTGGGTGTCCTTCATCCCCAGGGTCTCCCCTCCAGCCTTAGGTCTGCAGTAGTTTTAGAGAAGAGACAAAAATGATAAGGTCATTCAACCACAAAAGAGAAATAAGAATTATGTGAAGTGACAGGGAGGTCAGCTCACACCAGTGGTGAATTTACACATTATTACATGTCATCTTGGCTTCCCAGGTGGCAGTAGTGGTGAAGGACCTGCCTGCCAATGCAGGAGACTTAAAGAGATACGGGTTCAATCCCTGGGTCGGGAAGGTCCCCTGGAGGGGAGGGCATGGCAACCCACTCCAGTATTCTTGCTTGGAGAATCCCATGGACAGAGGAGCCTGGTGGGCTACAGTCCATAGGATCGCAAAAAGTTGGACATGACTGAAGTGACTTAGCATGCACACATCAGTTATACCTCAATATATTCGAATACGGTGAGATGTGAAAAATGACACAGCCTGGGCCCGTCACGTGTCCCAGCCTCGCACAGGAGGAAAGCACCGTGACTCCCGGCAGCGGTCTTAGGTGCCTGCCCTGGACTGGACAAGTCCCAGCATTCATCGTGCTTTGTGAGGCCATGAGCTAATGACCACAACCTAAGCTCATGTGTATTGGATGTTTCCTGTGTGCCCCCACTGTGTTGATGTTTCATGTCTCTAATTTCACCTGATTCCCTGAGCCCTTGAAGTATACATACAGTCAGCGTCTCCTTTCCCAGATGAAGAGACTTGCCCAAGTACCTCTAGTTGGTAATTGCTGGAACTGAGATTGGATCCTTAATAAGTCTAACATTATGCTAGACTGTCTTCTTTTTTTTTGGCTGTGCAGACTTTTCTCTGGTTGCAGTGAGCAGGGGCTACTCTCTAGTTGCAGTGCACAAGCTTCTCATGGCGATGGCTCCTCTTGTTACGGAGCACGGGCTCTAGGGTGAGCGACTCCTGGGCTCTAGAGCACAGGCTCAGTAGTCAGAGGTGCATGGGCTTAGTTGTTCCAAGGCATGTGGGATCTTCCCATCAAGGATTGAACCCATGTCTCCTATGTTGGCTGGTAGATTCTTTACCACTGAACCACCAGGGAAGTCCCCTCCAGACTGTCTTCTGCAAATTGATTTGCCACTGAGGGAATGGTTACCATGGGCTGGATGTGTCCCATGTGTTACCTTGTTTAATCCTCACAGTAACCCTGCCGAGTAGGCACTCTTGCCTTCCCTCCGCTGGCTCAGAGGGAGCTTGCCCCAGATTGCACAGCTAAGAAGAGCTGGGACTTGAACCCAGGTCTATTAGATTCCCAGATTCTGTAAAATATAGTCCTGGGCCCACATCCTCTGAGAACTTGAGAATAAAGATTCAAGCCCTTTCCTGGACCTACTGAATTAGCATTGCATTTGAGCAAGCTCCTAGAATTCCTTGTGTGCCCCATGAAGTTCCAGAGGCTCTGCCCTCATTGTTCTCCAACAGCCCAGGGGTTCAGCAAGTACAGGAGCCTGACCCTGAGTTCACCCCCCTCCTGCTTTCCCCGAACACCAGAGGGCACCTATGGTCATGAGCGCCGCTGCTCACACTTCCTGGTGTCTCCATTCCCTTCTTCATCTGCTAGAATGACAGGTGGATGGGGGTGAGGGGTGCAGGGGGGCTGGTTTTATCCTGTGCTGGAGTAAGTCTCCAGGTACCTAGAGACCAGAAGAAGGGTTGAAGGGAGAGGAACTTTGGGTTCAGCTCCCCCATCCTTTGGGGAATCTCAGCCACGGGGTGTGGATGAGTCTGTGAGATGCCAGACATCCCCTAATGCTTTGGTTTCTCCTTTCTTCCAGTCTTATCTTCATGGTGCCGGTGGCGTGTGGGCTGTTCCCGCAGCAATGGTATCAGCTGTTCATTACCCACTTGTTTTTACTGAATTGCCTGTCCCTGCTCTTGCTGACCTGCCTGCTGTCCTGAAGGAGAGGGAGGGGCAGGCAGGGCAGCATCTGTCCGGGGACAAGTGTGAACTCTGTCAGTGTGAACTCTGGGCCTCTTGACTCCAGGTGAATGGGAAATCAAAACAGAGTTCCAAGGGGCAGAGGGATTTTGCTCACTCCTAGTGGAGCACAGGCTGCCTTGGAAAGATGGTAGGGGAACAGTAAGAGACTTCCTGTCCCTGCTGGTTGAGTTGTTAGACCCATCTCCTATGGCTGGATTTGGTCTTTGAAATCGAACAAGAGGGTAGGTACTCATTCTGGCTGATTTTGCTGGAGGGTGGATGCCTTGGACCTCTCAGCTTCCCTTGCGTGTCCTGGGAAGGGTGCAGGGGGTGGTTGAGAAGAGATGATGACAAAGGGAAAGGGAAGCATTAGACGGGTGTCAGGGGCGGGAGCAGGGTGGCGGAGAGGACTGACTCCAGGAGACCAGATGTAGCCTGAATGGATACAGAAAAGACGCCCATCTCCCTTCTCGTACTGCCAGCTCAGTAGTCATCTACACCTCTCCTGTGTTCCAATCACCGTGCTTGTAATCTTGGAGAAGGTAGAAGTTTGGCACCAGGGAGAATGAAGTCAGAGCTCAACAGAAGTAAAAAGCCAAAAAGTAAAAAGCAATATACTGTGCCCTATAGAAGCCATTTGTAATTCTGATGGAAAAATGGGCAAGGGCTTCTTAGAGGCGGCAACTACGTTGGATTTTATCTCAGGGAAATTTGCTGTCTGTCCAGGTGGCAGGCTCATAATGCCCTTCTCTCTTCTCAGTGAATTGCCGGTTTCCTATCTGGAACCTGAGCTCCAGGACACCATCAAGGCCAAGTACAGAGAACCTGTGCCTTATGTCTGCTTCAATAAGGGCCTCTGAAGGCCTCACCCCAGCACGGACCAGTCCACATACCAGCTCACAGAGAACCTGTGCCTTATGTCTGCTTCAATAAGGGCCTCTGAAGGCCTCACCCCAGCACGGACCAGTCCACATACCAGCTCACAGAGAACCTGTGCCTTATGTCTGCTTCAATAAGGGCCTCTGAAGGCCTCACCCCAGCACAGACCAGTCCACATACCAGCTCACAGAGAACCTGTGCCTTATGTCTGCTTCAGTAAGGGCCTCTGAAGGCCTCACCCCAGCACGACCAGTCCATACACCAGCTGTGGATTCCTGTGCCTCATTCCTCTTTGCTGACAGGGCCTGCAGGCCAGGGTGGATTCGGGGGCAAGGGTGGCAGTGGGAGGATGCCTCATGCTTCTACCCAGGTACCTGGGTTTATTGGACTCCAGGGGATAAAAGTGACCAAGGGGAGAGAGGCCAAGGCTTCTATCTGCTCTTCCCGAACCCCCATCTTCTGGAGACCAGGAGCTGAGACCCCCTCAGGGAGAAGGTGCTAGGTCCTGAGGGTGACGCTCAAGTAAACCGTTCGGAATAAATTAGGAAACCTGAGATTCTGGTTCCAGCTGGGGTTGAGGAAGGGCCCCCTTTCTCTTCTTCCTCATCTGTTCTCAGTCAAGGGCACCCTTCCCGCTGGGAGGGGGTGTGGTTCTGGCTCCCTCAGAAAGAGGGTGGGGAGAGGCTGGGTCACTTTGGACCTCCTCTTTGTTCTTGCCCACTCTCCTACCCAGGGCCCCCTGGGCAGAAAGCTTCTTTGGGAGTCTTGCTAACCTTGAGAGTTTTTATCAGGCACCCAGGAGTTTTTAGTGCCAACCCTCTCCCCCGTCCCCAAAAAAAACAGGACACAGTGAGGCAGCAGAGTTTCATGGTGCTTCAGACCCTGTCTGTTGACACTGGCTTTGTTCTCCTAAAATCATTATCTGATTCTGCTTCTCTGTGTCTGAAAGATAAAACCACTGACTGAGTAAAAAGGACATAGGTACGCATTAACCGCACGTTTCAGTGGGTATAATTTCCTGGCTGCCTCCCTTCCTCAGCCCGTTGGGTTAAACACCAAAGAAAGACTGGTGTGGACTGAATAGGAAAGGGAAGTTTTATTTGGCGCCTCTGAGAGGAAACCAACCAGGACCAAAGAGCCTTAAAGGACACACGGCCAAGTGTAGCTACTCGCCCTTCCCCGCCAGGGTGCTCTAGGTTATTTTGGAAGCCCCTGAGGGAGAGGGGGCTGCTGTAGCCAACCTGGGGCCAATGTCTTTATGAGTTTTGTCTAGTAGAATTTACTGACTGATCAAAGGGTATCACTGTGAATCGAATACATTTCTTGAAAGAGCACAATGAACTGTCTGCACACTGAGTTAATAAAACCTAGATGGAAAGCAAGATCTGTTCTTACTTTGGGCTTGGCATGGAGGGGGGTATCACAACTCTAAGGGGAACCTGTCTGGTGCCCAGAGGCCATTGTTTGTCTCCCTTATTATGGAGGAAAAATCTACCTGCCTTTGCTGGAGGCTCTAGAGTGTTTCCTGGACTGAATGTGTTGCTTGAGGGTGAGAGCTGGCAAACCATGGCTTGAGGGTTCAGGTCTGCCTGTTTTTATGTTCCTGGGAAATAAGAATGGCTTTTAAATTTTTTAAAGGTTGTGAAAAAAGAAGGATGTGTGAGACTCTATGTGGGTGGCATGCAGAACCTAAAATATTTACTATTTGGCTCTCTACACAGTGTCCCCTACTCTGGGGTAATGGTTCCTAAGAAACATGCCTGAGATTCACCTGGAGGGCAGATTATAGGGCCCCCTCCCTAGAATTTCGAATTCTGTGGGGCTGGGATGGAGCCTGTGGATTTGTGTTTCTGGTAATTGTGACGCTGATACTGTTGTTTTGCGGACCACTTTGAAGGACCACTGCTCTGAAGGAAAGGGCTGCCTCCTTGAGATCAAAGCACTGACCGCAGTTTGATTTTTCCCCCATTTAAAAAAATGAAAATACAATTCACAAAACATGAAATTCATCCTTTGAAAGCATACAGTTCAGTGGTTTTTAGCATACTCATAATTTCATACAACTGTCATTATTCTCTAATTCCAGAATATTTTCGTTATTCCTGAAAGAAACTCTGTACTCATTAGTAGTCATTCATATACCCTCATCCCCCAGCCTCTGGCAACCTCTCATCTATCTTCTGTCACTATGGATTAACCTATTCTGGACATTTCATATAGATGGACTCTCACACTATGTGGTCTTCTGTGTCTGACTTCTTTTACTCAGAGTATTTTCCAAGTTCAGCTATTCTGTAACATATGCAACTTAACTTTGGCTGATATCTGAGCAGAAAAGCCTGTGTCTTTGGAGCTGGCTTCCTTGGGACAGGAGATTTGCCTTCAGCTTTGCTCAGTTCCAAAGGCAAATAGGAAAAACATTACCAGAGCTGGCCAGAACTTGGCAGCAATTCTGAGCTGAGGTTCTTTCAAGAATCCACAACCTTCTTACTTTTCCAGCTCCTTAAGCCTCCTGGCATTCCTCCTTCATAGACGATTACTCTTGGAAAAGTCTGGAGTAGAGAGTGACTGCCGTTTAGAGGCAGATTAAAAAGTTCACTCAAACTGCATCTCAGTTCGATCTTGTAAAAGCCTCCGATTTCTTTGAGTTGGCTCCTATGAGGTGTGGAACGAGGTGATGAAGGTGACTAAAATGCCTCGGTGAGAAGTTCTAGTTCAGATTGGGCAGGGTGTCATGTTTGTCCTGTCCTGTAGCTCAGTTCAAGCTCAGGTAAAGAGAGAAAGGAAGTTGAGAAAGGACAGAATCCCTTTCTGTTTGTCAAATTGAAACCTTTGGAGTTGCCTAATGATAATGATGTCTGGCCTTTTTTTTTTTAATTAAAATTTTGTTGAAGTATAGTTGATTTACAATGTTGGGTTAGTTTCAGGAGTCCAGCAAAGTCAATCAGTTATACATGTATCTACTCTTTTTTAAGGTTCTTTTCCCATATAGGCCATTACAGAGTATTGAGTCAAATTCCCTCTGCTATACAGTAGGTCCTTATTTGTTATCTGTTTTATATATACTAGGGTGTATATGTCAATATCAATCCCCCAATTTATCCCATCCCCTGCATATTCCCTATTGATCATAAGTTTGTTTTCTGCATCTGTGACTCTGTTTTATAAATAAGTTCATTTGGACCCTTCTTTTTTGTTTTTTTTTAAAGATTCCACTATAAGTGATATATGGTATTTGTCTTTCTGTGTCTGATTTATTTCATTGAATATGACAATCTTTAGATCCATCCGTGTTGCTGCAAATGGCATTATTTTGTTCTAGTTTTTTTAAGGAACCTTCATGTTCTCCATAACAGCTGTACAAATTTACATTCCCACCGACAGTATAGGAGGGTTCCCTTTTCTCCTTATCCTCTCCAGCATTTATTGTTTGTAGATTTTTTTTTTTTTTTGGATGAACATTCTGACTGGTATGAAGGAATACCTCATTGTAGTTTTGATTTGCATTTCTCTAACAATTAGTGATGTCAGGCATCTTTTTGTGTGCTTTTTGGCCACCTGTGATAACTGACTTTTATGTGGAGGACTTAAAACTCCTTGAGGCCGGGATTGAGACTCTGCGCTAAGAGAATAATATGGCCCCTGACTATTATTCGATCTTTTCTTCTCCTCTAGGGAGTTTGATTGTGGAATGAATGCATTTCTAAGAGATTTAAGATCGGCAAAAATACTTGTCGCTCTTTGCAGCACTTGGGAAAGTAGGATCAACAGAGAGAACCCATTTCTTCACTTACTGTTTCCTACTTTGCCACCATTTAAGCCAAGAACAAACTCCCCTGGGCTCAGCTATGTGCTCTAAAATGCTTTGGCAGACTTTTGAGAGGAAATTGTCAGCTAAGGGAAGCTGGCTTGTCTGCTGCGAGTCTTCATTTGTTTATTTTCCCAGTATTGATTGAGCTCATGGTTGGGCCCTGTACATGGTTGTAGGGATTTCTTTAAAAAAAAAAGAAAGAAAGAAAGAAAAATGAGTAAGACATGGTAAGGCCATACAAAAAGCTATAAATTTAGTGGGAAGGGTCAGGCAGGTAGAAACTATACACTGTGTGGTGTTTTGTGAATCCAGAAGAAATGAGGGCGAGAACTGGGAAACTGTATGTGTATTTGGGCTTCCCTGGTGGCTCAGATGGTAAAGAATCAGCCTGCAACGCAGGAAACCTGGCTTCCATCCCTGGGTTGGGAAGATGCCCTGGAGGAAGGCATGGCAACCCACTCCAGTATTCTTGTCTGGAGAATCCTCATGGACAAAGGAGCCTGGCGGGCTACAGTCCATGGGGTCCCAAAGAGGCGGACACGACTGAGAAAATAAGCACAGCATAATGTGTAAATGAAGTTAAGTGTACTATCTACTGTCTAGCACAGTACGTTGAGGACCTCTTAACTGTGGGGAATGAGCAGAGTGCGCAGAAAACGTAGTGGCAGTAGGTGAGAATAAGAAGTACGCAGGGGCCAGCACACAGAAAGGACCATACTGGTAAGTTTGGAAGATAAATTCTGTAGGTAGTTGAAGTATTTTGAGAGGGGAAGTCCTGAGACAATGATATTTGCTTTTAGGTAGTAGAGCACCCTTGTTCTGACCTGTGAAAGGAATTCAAGAGGGAAGAATTAGTAACTGGCTAGGCAGCAGGAAGCCTGTCTTGTATTTAACCAGAAAATGAGAACACAGATTGAAACAGTGGAGCTATTTCTGAGGTAGAGTCAACAGAATTTCCTCCCTCAAGAACTTGGGTTGAGAAAGCACTGTGCCTTAGGTAAAGATACTATCTGACGTGGAATTCAAATTGACCCAAGCTGCGGCTTGAGCAATTTGAGACGAAGAGAGGGACCGACCCTGGTAATGGAGCTGTGCTTAAAGACAAAAGAAATCAAGAGATTTTTAGATTACAGTTGCCTTCTTCTTTGAGAGCGCCCGGTTACCTTCTAAAAGTAACTTATTTTCCAACACTCTTTAGAATTACCAAACCTCTTTGCTAAACCGTGGAAATCTAATACTTCCGCCACACTCAAGATGGTAAACATCAGACTTAGCCTTTTCAACCCACGTTTCGAATGGTCCCGCCCCCCGTCGGAGCTACTTCCGCCACTCTCTGCGGAGCGGACGCGTTTATACCGCCTCCCAGCACTCAAGATGGCCCGGCTTCCTCCTACTTTCCATTGGCTGAATTTCTCCGGTTTTCCGTCTTCATAAGAAGGCGGAACTTCGATTTGATCGACAGCTTTTTTAACCAATGGACGAAGGGCAAGGGCCAATGAAGCGTAGGAACTGGAGAACCACCCCAGTGTCTGGGAGGGCGTTTGGGCTGGGGCCGGGTGGAGCGGAGCCGGAAACGGGAGGGGAGAGTGAAACAGGAAAAGAAGGGAAGAAGGAAGAACAGGGAAGAGGAGGAGAGGGAGGAGGAGAAGGGAGGTGGCGGCGCCGTGGCGGAGGAGCAGGAGCAGGAGGGGGATGGCGAGGAGAAGGCTCCTGGGTGGCATGGCGCTCCTGCTCCTCCAGGCGCTGCCCAGCCCCCTGTCAGTCAGGGCTGAACCCCCGCAGGTAAGGGGGAGGGTCGTGTGGCGGCCTGAGGGGCCAGGCTGCGGGCCTCGGGGTCGTCGAGGCGTGGCTGGAGGGGGCCTGAAGGAACGTTGTTACCTAGAGTTGCGGGCTCCTGAGACGGTCACCCATGCTTGAGTGGATAGGATCTGAGGGGGCGTCGATGTTTAGCCGAGGGACACCTGTGACGGTTTTGGTATCAGGGAGGAGGCAGAGGCATGATGCCAAGCGAGTTGAGGGGCGTTTGAGGCGGCAGTTCAGTCAGGTGGGCCGGGAATGATTGTGAATGGATAGTGGTATCAAGCGGGGTGTGTGTGGGGTGCGCATTCGTGTCCTCCAGTGGAGCAGGTCTGTGAGGTGCCGCGTGTCCGTCGTTGCTGGTAGGGGTACTTGGGTTATTGAGGCGGCCTGAGAGGGCGGTGGGGCTGAGAGGATACCTATTTCCAGCTAGATCGGGGTATGTTCTAGGGGCCTCTTGCCCCATTTTAAGTGGTGTTGGAGGCGGGACTCTCGGAAGGCAGGTGGGATGAAGTAGCCTGGGACCCCTCAGCAGCGGCGCACACCTGAGCTGTAACAAGTTCTTACTATTAGGCTGACTGGCCTGGGGAAGCCAGTGACTGAGGCTGTCCTGGGCTAGCTCGGAGTTTGGAGCAAAGGGTGGTGCTGGTGCCAATACGGCCAACAAATGGAGCCCCCTAGCTTTTCTTGCTAGGTGGCCTGTGCAGATTTCAGCCGCTGCTGGCATTTCGAAACTCTTAATGGGAGCGTTACTCTTGGTGCCAGGCTGGGTGGGGTGCAGTAGGGGGAATCACCCTCCTTCCCTTCTTTGCATTTGGCAAGGCTTTACTGTTCTATTTTCTCTGTCTCTTCAGAAAGGCCTGCACACACAGACACACACAGAGCAAGATGACAGTCTATATAGTATAGCTTGGCATTTGAACTTGGTGTGGTCAAGAGTAGCAGCAGAATGCCAGCAAAAACACTTACCGTTTTTCCTCGGAATTTATGAGCATCGTGTTGTGCCCATTAGCATTCTCTATTTAAAACATTAATTTTTTTAAAGTGAGATAAAATTTATATAACAAATCATTTAAAACCATTTGACCATTTTAAGGTGAATAATTCAGTGGTGTTTAGTACATTCACAGTGTTGAGCAACCACTGCCTCCATCTAGTTCCAGAATATTTTCATCACCTGGGAAGAAAACCCCCTATCATTAAGCAGTTCCTCCCTGTTCCACCTCCCCACAGCCCCTGGCAAACATCAGTCTACTTTCTGTGTCTATAGATTTATCTATTCAGGATATTCCATGTAAATGGAATCTTACAATATATGACCTTTTGTATCTGGCTTCTTTCCCTTAGCATAAAGTTTTCAAGGATTATTCACATTGTAGCATGTATTTCTTTCCTTTTTGGGGGTGAATAATATTCCATTGCATGGCTCTTCCAGAATTTGTTGTTTCATCTGTCTGTGTAACTATCACCTGCTCTTCTCCAAGACTATGTATATTAGAAATAACATGTGAAAGGAACAGAGCTCATTTTCTGGCCCAGCACACTCCCTTTTCTTGGGCTGGGACTCTTCTGTTCTAGGCTTTGTTGGGGTTCTTTCTTTTCTCAGTTAAAATCATAAACTGGCAGGAGAAATAAGTTTTCTTTATTAAAAAAGTTACTGCCCTTAGGACTGGTCAAGCTGAGAAGTATAGATATTGAGAGAGCAAAATATAGAACAAACTGTTGCTTTTCCTTTATACCTGCACCTAAGTATCTCTAAAGACTGTTCCCAGTAACTAGTAATTAAGCATTACTAGGGGGTTGATTTAGGAACAGTGCAAGCTTTGAACCTGGGTTCCCTGGGCCTGTGGACTGCATCTCCCTAGTGGAGAGCAGTGATTGGCATCTGGTGGGAACCAGATCCATTTCTTTAACCGGATGGAAAATGGAGGTTCCTTCCCAGGTCATGGAAGCCTAGGAGGTGGAGAGAAGACGTGGGAGGGATCCTCAGTGTAATGCCCTAGTTGCCATTTGTGGATCACAGGCTGTTTGCTTATCATCTCTCTGGCACTTCGGAGACAGGGCGGCTTTTGTACTTTGTTCTGTTTGGATGGATGCTAACACTGGATGGTAGCTATTAGGTTGTTACAGGTCCTGCAGAGAAGGGGAAGTTTCTGGAATGAGTAGTCTCTCGCCCTGATCCTTTCCCCCTAACACTCCTGCCTTCATCTTGTAGACTCTCTTTCTCAGTATCTATGTTGAGAATTGTTCTGTGAATTTTAATCTTTGAAATGGAAGTTACTCTATAATAATTAACTCTGAATCCCCCACAGTTTAGTCAATTTAGTTTTTTTTTGTTGTTGATTTTTTTTTTTTTTTGGCTTACAGAAATCAGTGAAGAAAAAAAAATTAAGAGATCACTTGGTATAGGATGTACTTCAGATACTCGCTGTCCTTTTTTCAACAAGTGGCTTCTGGCTATCTCTGAATTGGGGAGGACTGTCTGTACTCTTTCCGTATTGAAAGTGGTATGGATACCTCATTGCATTTTTTTCCCTCTTGACATGGCTCTATCAAATACAATCTTTTTTTTAAAATTGAAGTATAATTTATTTACAATGTTGTGTTAGTTTCTGGTGTACAGCAAAGTGATTAAGTTATGTATATATGTGTGTGTATCTCAGTTCCCTGGTTGCTCAGACAGTAAAGAATCTGCCTGCAATGCAGGAGACCCAAGTCCCTGGATCAGGAAGATCCCTGGAGAAGGAAATGGCTACCCACTCCAGTATTCTTGCCTGGAGAATTCCATGGACAGAAAAGCCTGGTGGGCTGCAGTTCATAGGATCACAAAGAGTCAGACAAGACTGAGTGACTAACACACACACTTGTTTGTGTGTATAGAAATGTGCATATATACGCACACACATGTATGTACATTTGTATGTGCATGTGTATATATACCTACGTGTATCTAAACACATATATACATGCATGTATATATGTATATACAGATAAATTCTTTTTCATAATACAATCTTTTTTAAAAACCTGCATTTCATATCAGATAATATTTGGCAGCTTTCTTTCTCTGGTTCCAGCTCTGCACTGGAACAATTATTTCCTGCCATCCTGGCCAGATAAATTCATCAGTTTAATTCCCTTCTGTGATTAGGAACTTAGACTTAATTCTCCTATAGATCCTTGCAACTTAGATGTGATTCTGTGAATCTATAAAGAATAAAAAAAGCCGTGGAGTCTCCAAACAGAAAGGCCTTGACATTTGTCTCTTTCAGCTGAATTATGATGGAGATACAGAGTTTCTTTCTTTCTCTTGTTGGTTAGATTCAACTGGAAAAATCTGACTGTAGTATTTAAAGTTTTAGTAGAAATGTCTTTTTCCATAAAGTGATCCAGCCGATGGGTTGGGTGCAAATCTGTAGAGATGTGGTCCTTACCTTTCCTCTCCCATGCTTCAAACTTTGAGCTGGACAGGGGCCCTAGCTCATGATTTGTTTTTTCCCACCACACCCTCCAATAGTGTATCCCTTCCCCCCACCTTTACTTATCTCTCCTGCCTCAGTTCTCAGTCCAGAAGCCCTACTCCACTCTTCTTTCCTAACTACAGCATTATAGTGCGACCACCCTCATTCCTTCTTGTGAGTTACCCTCTTTCTTTCTCTTTCTTAGCCTATTTTATTTTTTTTTTCTCTATTTTTATTTTTTTTATTTTTTATTATTTTTTTTCATTTATTTTTATTAGTTGGAGGCTAATTACATCATTGCAGTGGGTTTTGTCATACATTGAAATGAATTAGCCATGGATTTACATGTATTCCCTACCCCGGTCCCCCCTCCCACCTCCCTCTCCACCCGATCCCTCTGGGTCTTCCCAGTGCACCAGGCCCGAGCACTTGTCTCATGCATCCAACCTGGGCTGGTGATCTGTTTCACCTTAGATAATATACGTGTTTCGATGCTGTTCTCTTGAAACATCCCACCCTCGCCTTCTCCCAGAGTCCACAAGTCTGTTCTATACATCGGAGTCTCTTTTTCTGTTTTGCATATAGGGTTATCGTTACCATCTTTCTAAATTCCATATATATGTGTTAGTATACTGTAATGGTCTTTATCTTTCTGGCTTACTTCGCTCTGTATAATGGGCTCCAGTTTCATCCATCTCATTAGAACTGATTCAAATGAATTCTTTTTAATGGCTGAGTAATATTCCATGGTGTATATGTACCACAGCTTTCTCATCCATTCGTCTGCTGATGGTCTTAGCCTATTTTATACACCAAAGTGAACAGTTGTCTAAAATCAACACCGTGACTTGCTTATGTAAATCCTTTCAGTAGATTCCAGCAAACATTTACTGAAATGTTCGTTCTTTGCAGCAGGCTATTATTATTCCTAGGCACTGGGAACCCTCAAATGAGTAGCCAGCTCCCTGTCCTCAAGGAGATGATAATCTTGTGAGAAAGACAGATAACAAACACTGATTTGTAATCTGGAGGGATCAGTGCTGTAATGGTTGTTCAGTTGCTCAGTCATATCCGATTCTGCGACCCCATGGACTGCAGCATGCTAGGCTTCCCTGTCCTTCGCTGTCTCCCAGAGTTTGCTCCAACTCATGTCCATTGAATCAGTGATGCCATCCAACCATCTCATCCTCTGTTGTCTCCTTCTCTTCCTGCCTTCAGTTTTTCCCAGCATTAGGGTCTTTTCCAATGAATCAGCTCTTTGCATCAGGTGGCCAAAGTATTGGATCTTCAGCATTAGTCCTTCCAGTGAATATTCAGGACTGATTTCCTTTAGGATCAACTGGTTTGATCTCCTTGCTGTCCAAGGGTCTTAAGGAATGTAACAAGTCCCTATAATGGGAGTGCATGCAAAGGAATATGGGAACCATGGCTAGGGCTAGGGGAAGGTGGGGATTTAGGAAATGCTTCATAGAGGGAGAGGCATTTGGACAGGGCTTTCAAGGTTGATCTCTGGAGAAGGAAATG